GAAGCAAGGGTCATTTCGAAAATATCACGATTGTTCGAAACAACGACTGTCAATGGCCAATTGTCAATCTTTCGACGTACAGCGCCGGAAGCAGAGAGTCGCTAACGGTTCAGACAACGGTTTTACTGTATCTGCGAAGTTGCTCAATAATTAATCGTTTGTCTGATACGGGCGTGATTAAACAGCACTGTCACGCTTGGTGAAGAATTTCCGTTCTAGTAGTGGTCACTGACCGATTTGTGATGTTATGGACGAGAAGGAATTTCATGGCTGGTTTCAGAGACCTAGTTAAGTAATAAGACCTGATGGAACAAATATTTAACGGTTATAGTTATTGTTCGAATAACCGTCGTTTGCTACTAGGTCATCAAGAGTAGCAGCTGTGTGTGTGTCTGGATCAGACCAAGATGGCATGACTTTGATGTACACGAAAGTGGAACGGTTGTGCTACTTTCCTACAAGTAAACAAGTAATTTATGGAGTGCCATTATGGAGCCAGTTCTTCGTTTTATACTACTAAGGGTATAATATGATTGCCAAACACCGCCAACAGTTAATAACTGCCCCGTTTTGAGCGAATAATACACATCATGTGGTACTGTGTTCAAGAAACCGGAACTCTCTCAGTGACTCATGAGAAAATGATACAGTATGTGTCTTTACGTGGTATTAAGCTTAGTGCTGATTATGTGTAATCTGGCAGCCATGAGCATTCAGTGGCACTTGGAGCTAAGCGTGTGTTCAGTAGAATGGACTATGAAAATTAAGTACAAGATGAATATGATAACATAGCAAATCCAACGATATCCCTCTCGTTTCGACTTCGTAAAATGTTGTTATTCATGAGAGTGCTGCCATAGAATTGTCATTGTTTCATAAGGCTGTTCATAAGTACCCAAGTTAGTTCATTTACATCTACACTAATTATGCTATGGCGTCGCTTAACTTCAAGGAAATGTCGAAACCTATTGCTGACAGTTAAAGAAAGGTTTATAGAGACATTCTAATACTTATTACTTAGCTATATTTACAATTTTCACTTCCCTAAAAAAGTCGCTCAATCAAAATATAGCATGCGCAGCTGGTATGATATTTACAAGGTTTTCTTTTCAGTGACAGGGGACTATTTGGTCGTGGAGCTGAAACCGGACGACGGCGCAGTCCTTCGAAGCGACGCCAAGTTCGACGAAGACCTAGTGGTCAGATTTCACTATTACGATGCGACTGACTATGCTCAATTGACCATGTGTTGCTTCGGAAAAAGTACTTGTTGCCCCCTGGTAACGAAGTTGGAAGCGAAGCCCGATGACAAGGCCTGGAAATCTGCCAGCGGGACTTGTCCAGCAGGAACTGATCGAGTAAACTTAGAGGTCATTGCTTAACGCAGGGTAATGATAACTGCATTTTCTTGAGGTCGAGTTCTCTGCTCGTAACTACGGACACAATCAAGGCGCCATCGGCATCTCTGGAATTCAACTGTTTAAACCGAAGTCCGGCATGCATCCTGAAGATGCAGATGAAAATGTTTGTGCCTCCGCTGGAAATCGCGATCGCGATTAAAGTAATACCGTTTTCAGCCTGGTTCTACGTTATGGTCAGTTATTCTTGTGTACTAAACAGTATTTGCGTTATTCGGTCAGAATTGTGACATACTTGATAAACATTCGCCATT